TGCAAGCAATCATAAACACGTGATCATCTCGAAATTAGTTTAGAAATAATCTTTACTTCTCTATTGTAGATATATTGAATGTGAGAGACTCACTTTGTTGGATTTGCATTTTAAATGTAAAAAAATGAAAGTTTAATTTCACATAAATCCTCACATTCTTGCACAGAAACCCAAAAAAAACAGAACTGTTCATCAATCAGTGACCTGGTCCTCCCGCAGCCAAATGTGCGACAGGTGTTTCAGCGGCTCAGAGCAGATGATGGAGGGTCAGAGGACTCTCTGCCGTCACTGTGTCTGAAAGCAGTTTTTCCGCCATGTTTACCGCTCCGAGCTGCTGCATTTTCAGCTCCACAATAAAGTCGACAGCCTCTTGAGATGATTCAGTGCAAAACACAGCAGAGTGCCCTGATGGAGAAATACAGCGCGCAAACACTCTCTTAAACACACTCGGCAACTACAGAAAGCCTTGTTGTTGTTGTTTTTTTGCTTCTGTTATTTTCTGCAACACTAAAACGGATCGTGCTCATGTTTCAGCGTGATGATCTCTTTAATGGGCTCTTGTGAGTGTTTCTCGAAGGTGCAAAGAGGAAAATCATTCATTCATTCCACCCTCTTTAACCTCCTCGGAGATGAGGAAATTTACACGCAGACTCCATTTAGCTCAAAAGCACATTCAAAAGCAAACAAAAGCCACCAATTCTGCGTTTGTATGAAGCTTAAAATGTGACAAAAATCTGAATTTTAATTGTGTTCATTTGAATTTTTGACAATTGTAATTTCATTCATTCAATCATTTGTCCAAGCCGCTTCTCAATTGAATTGAGAAAATTCTCGTTAATGACCACTTTTTAGTCATATTACACATTAAAGTGAATTTTATATATATTATTTATATTATATATATATATATTGTAATTGTGGTTTTCTAAAGTATTACATCGCTCTTTGTAAAAGTTGATTGATACCATTTGTTGAGTCTCCCCATACAGTTTAATAGATTGATTGGACCGGGATCTCGAACCCGTCACACTATGGAGTTTAAAATATGCCAAAACAATCTGAATTTGAATTGTGTAAATTTTAATTATTGACAGTTATAAAAATAAAATAAAACACTAAATATTGCATGGCGTTTAATATAGTTTAGAATTTGAATTTCTTAACTTCAATGTTGAACATCTGGAATTTGGGAGTATTATTAAATTACAATTGTCGGTAATTACAGGTAACAATTTCAATTCAGATTGTTTTGTCAAAAAGTTAGTTTAATTGGCCATTAGGGTAGTTTTGGGTTAATTTACTTGCCCATTTGGGATAGTTTGTTTGGACGTTTTTGCTAATTTTGGGCTATTTTGATTGGACAGCTGGGATAGTTTTGGGTTAGTTTGATTGGCCATTTGGGTTACTTTGATTGACCATTTGGGCTAGTTTAAGTGATCATTTGGGTTTGTTTGGTTGCCCATTTAGACTAGTTTGATTGGCCATTTGGGCTAGTTTGGTTGGCCATTTGGGCTAGTTTGATTTGCCATTTGGGCTAGTTTGGTTGGCCATTTGGGCTAGTTTGATTTGCCATTTGGGCTAGTTTAATTGATCATTTGGGTTAGTTACGGGTTAGTTTGGTTGTCAATTTGGGCTAGTTTGATTAAACTTTTATGCCCATTTTGGGCTATTTTAATTGGACTGTTGGGCTAGTTTTGGGCTGGATTATCTTGCCATTTGTGAATAATTGGATTAGAAAGTTGGGTTAGTTTGATTGGCCATTTGGTATAGTTTGATTTGTCATTTCGGCTAGCTTGATTGTTAATTTTGGCTAGTTTTGGGTTAGTTTCGCCCTTTGGGTTAGATTGATTGGTCACTTAGGCTAGCTTGATTGGTAATTTTGGCTACTTTTTTTGTTAGTTTGTACGTTTGGGCTAGATTTTGTATAGTGTGATTGGCCATTCGGGATAGTTTTGGGGTACTTTGATTGGCCATTTGGGCAGCCTTGATTGCCATTTGGGTTAGTTTCGGGTTAGTTTAATTGCTAGTTTTGGGTTATTTTGATCGGACAATTCAGCTTGATTGGTCATTTGGGCTAGCTTGATTAATCATTTTGGCTAGTTTTAGGTTAGTTTGGTCATTTAGGGTAGTTTGATTGGCCATTTAGGATAGTTTGGTAGTACCCCAAATGCTAGTTATGCTAGCTTTGAACTATTTTGATTGGACTATGCGGTTAGTTTTGGGCTAGTTTGATTGCCCAATTCGGCTAGTTTTGGGCTGGTTTGATTGCACAATTCGGCTAGTTTTGGGCTGGTTTGATTGCACAATTCGGCTAGTTTTGGGCTGGTTTGATTGCACAATTCGGCTAGTTTTGGGCTGGTTTGATTGCACAATTCGGCTAGTTTTGGGCTGGTTTGATTGGCCATTTGGAATATTTTTTTCCCGTTTGAACTCATTTAGTTGGCTATTTGGGCTAGTTTGATTGAACATTTATGCTAATTTTGGACTATTTTGATTGGAGAGTTGGGCAAGTTTTGGGTTTGATTAGCTATTTTAAATAAGCAGTTTAAATAAGCAGCAAAATCTTTTTTTTTTTTTTTTTTTTGATAGTTAAACAAACCATACCATATGCATATGTTGTTTAAGGTTTGATATGTGTGATATTTAATTTCGTTTTAAATAACTTGTATGAATAAGCAGCAGATTATGTGTTGTGCATTTATAGTTTTATGCAAGATCATTTTTATGACACGGCTGTAGTTTTGCGAGTTGTTGAAAACTCTTTAAAGGTCAGCATGTAATTGGTGGAAGGTGTTTTCCAGCGCAGACCTTGATTGAGGAGAGCACTCATTATCTCATCAGCTTTCTGTCCATCATGCTCTCCATCATGCCACCGCATTGTTCATCAGGGAATCACAGCTCCAGAAACGCATAATTATGCTGCATATTTCAGGTAATTAAAGAAACAGGGGGTTGGCTGCATATTCAAGACCCTATTTGCAACTTTTGGGGATATAATGCTGCCAAATCCCAGAGCTGGGATTTCTGCAAAAGCCGTATTCAATTGTGTGACAGGTTTCACTAATCCACTTGGACTTACATTAGTTCTCTCCTCTGCTCTGTCTGCTTTTTTGTTGTTGTTGTTGTTGTTGTTTTACGCAGTTTTCTCACTTCAGCTCATTTTCCTTCTTGCACACATGCATGAAACTGCCCACAGTCTGATGACAACCTGCTGTAACGGTAGACAATATGACTTCAATATTATATCATAGTATGTGCATGCCTTTCAGAAAGGCCTTCGTGTAAAAAATACTGGCAAGAAATTAAATGTTAAAATAAAACACTGCTCTCTGAATTAATCCAATAAATAAATGATTAAAAAAAAATTGTACGAAAGACAGAAGATGTAAGAAATTAAATACCCATAATAGGCTAGTTTGATTGGACATTTATTGTAGTTTTGGGCTAATTTGATTGGATAGTTGAGCTAGTTTGGGCTGGTTTGATTGGTCATTTGTGCTAATTTGACCGGCGATCTAGTTTTGGGCTAATTTGATTGGTCATTTGGGTTAGTTTGATTGGCCATTTGGGGCTAGTTGATTGGTCAGTTGGGCTAGTTTTGGGTTAGTTTGATTGGCCATTTGGGTTAGTTTTTTTTCCCTTTGGGTTAATTTTGTTTTAATTTGATTGCCTATGGGGCCAGTTTATTTATTTATTTATTTTTTGCCCATTTGGGTTAGTTTGGCCATTTGGGGTAGTTGGATTGGCCATTGGGGCTTGCTTAATTGGCCATTTTGATTAGTTTTGGGTTTGTTTTATAGCCCTCTTAGGCTAGTTTGATTGACATTTATGCTAGTTTTGGGCTATTTTAATTGGAAAATGGGCTAGTTTGACTGAATATATGAGATAGTTTGATTGAACATTTGGGCTAGTTTGAGGTAAGTTTGACCATTTTGGCTACTTTGATTGGACATTTATGCTTGTTTTGGTCTAGTTTGATTGGAATAGTTGGGGTAGTTTAATTGTCCATTTGGGTTACTTTTGGGTTTGTTTGATTGCCCATATAGGCTAGTTTGATTGGACATTTATGCTAGTGTGGGATATTCTGATTGGACAGCTGGGCTAGTTTGACTGGATATTTGGGATAGTTTGAACACTTGGGCTAGTTTGCTTGGCCATTTGGGGCTAGTTTATTGGACCGTTGGGCAAGTTTTGGGTTAGTTTATTGGCCATTTGGGCTAGTTTAATTGGCCATTTGGGTTAGTTTTGGGTTTGTTTGATTGCTCATTTAGGCCAGTTTGATTGACATTTATGCCACTTTTGGGCTATTTTGATTATACAATTGAGCTAGTTTGATTGCCCATTTAGGCTAGATTTGGGCTAGTTTGACTGGATATTTGAGATAGTTTGAGGCAAGTTTGAGTGACCATTTTGGCTAGTTTGATTGGACATTTGTGCTAGTTTTGGTCTAGTTTAATTTGTACAGTTGGGCTAGCTTTGAGTTGGTTTTATTGGCCATTTGGGCTATTTTGATTGGCCCTTAGGGAATGATTAATTGGCCATTTGGGTTAGTTTGATCACCCAATTTGGGCTAGTTTGATTGGTCATTTGTGCTAGTTTTGGACTAATTTGATTGGCCATTGTAGTAGTTATGGTAGTTTAAGTTACAGGTTTTTAATATTCCTCCAAATAACTTTAGTTGTGTTCAGCAGAAAAACAAAACAAAAAAAAAACAAAAAACAAAATAGGTTTGTAACAAATGAAGGTTGAGTAAATGATGGCAGACATGTCATTTTTGTTTGGGGTGAAGTATCTCTTTAATTGAAGAATCAAGATTATATATTCTGTGTTAAAATGAACCAAAGCATTTAAACTTAAAACAAGATTATTACTTAAATCAGGATCACACATACATGCACTAAAGATTCAGTGTGACTGAGTTTTAAATAGACAAACTTAAATTAGTGATTACAGCTAAAATGAAGTATTAACACACAATGCTGTGTTTTCTTCCGTCACAGGGCTGTAACCGGTCACAGAGAACCCATTCCCGATGACAGCAAAGACAACATCACCATCTTCACCCGGATCTTAGATCGCTTGCTGGACGGTTACGACAACAGATTGCGTCCCGGGCTTGGAGGTATGATTTACACTGCCTTCCTCTGTGTCCTCATGCTTTCATATCGACACTTCTCGAACACGTCTCACACCTCTGAGAACCATAACAGATTGTGCTTTTGGAGCAGTGAAATTACTCATCTTTTCTCGCCACTGTAATGTTTATCAATAGCAAAATCTGTCTGAAATCGCAGAGCAGCACTCTCCGGAGATCACTTACAAAACCTTATGCTTCATATGTTATAGATCTGGGGTGAAAATAAATAAGAAGTCATGACCGCTGCTGTGATGGTGCGTCAGGCTTGCAAAGTCTGTGTTTTTCCCTTGGTACTAGGCTATGTTTGACCACTTGCTGCAAGTGTCTTTTATTTTAATGTTTGTGGGTTAAAGGTGCAGTGTGTAGGGTTAACCTAGTGGTTGAAATAGGTATTGATGTCCGAATTCTTAATAATGTATTTATTTATTTTTTTCCCAACCAGCACACATACATAAAGGTTGCCAGATCGATTAGCCATTTGGGCTAGTTTAGGTGGGCATTTGGGATAGTTTCGGCCCGCTTTGATTTCCCATTTAGGCCAGTTTGCTTGGCCATTTGGTCTAGTTTAATTAGTCATTTGGGACAGTTTTGGGCTAGTTTGATTTCCCATTTGGGCTAGTTTGTTTGACCATTTGGGCTAGAAATTTTGGCCATTTGGGTTAGTTTTGAGCTAGATTGATTGCCCATTTGGGCTAGTTTAACGGATATTTGGGCTTTTTTGGACTGGTGTCATAGGTCATTTGGGCTAATTTGATTAGTAATTTACGCTAATTTGATTAGCCATTTGGGCTAGTTTAATTAGCCATTTGGGCTAGTTTTGGGATAGTTTGATTTGCCATTTGGACTAGTTTAAATAGCCATTTGGGCTAGTTTGATTGGCCATTTGGACTAGTTTAATTAGCAATTTGGGCTAGTTTTGGGCTAGTTTGATTGGCCATTTTGGTTAGTTTGATTTTGCCATTTGGGCTAGTTTGATTGGCCATTTGGGTTAGTTTAGTTAGCAATTCGGGCTAATATAATGGCCCATTTGGGCTAGTTTTTGGGCTCACCTGAATTCCTATTTGTACTAGTTTGACTGGCCATTTGGGCTAGTTTAATTGGCAATTTAAGCTAGTTTTGGGCTAGTTTGACTGGACATTTTGGCTAGTTTTGGGACAGATTTGGGCTAGTTTGACTGATATTTAGGATAGTTTAATTAAACATTTGGGCAAGTTTGAGGCAAGTTTGATTGACCATTTTGGCTGGTTTTATTAGACATTTGGGCTAGTTTTAAGCTAACTTGATTGGCCATTTGAGATAATTTGATTAGCAATTTAGGCTAGTTTTGATTGACCATTTGGGATAGTTTTGGGTTAGTTTGATCGGCCGTTCGGGCTAGTTTGACTGGACATTTGGGCTAGATTTGGGCTAGTTTGACTGAATATTTGGGATGTTTTGATTGAACATTTGGGCTAGTTTGAGGCTAGCTTGATTGGAAATTTGAGCTTGTTTTGGGCTAACCTGGTTGGTTGTTTGGGCTAATTTTATTAGTAATTTGGGCTAATTTAATTGGCCATTTGGAATTTGATTTGATTTGCCATTTGGGCTTAGTTATTTGGGCTACTATGATTAGTCATTTGGGCTAGTTTGATTGGACAACTGGGCTAGATTTGGGCTAGTTTGACTGGGCATTCGGAAAAGTTTGATTGAACACTCGGGCTAGTTTGAGGCAAGTTAAGTTTGAATGACTATTTTGTCTAGTTTGATTGGACATTTCAGCTAGTTTTAGGCTAGCGTGATTAGCTGTTTGAGCTAGTTTTGATTACCTATTGTGTTGGTTTTGTTGTAAACACCTAACAACCCTGCGGTGCACCCACAGATTGGGCTCACAAACAGGAGCCAGCATGCCTGACGATTGAGCCTTACATTTTAAACCACTCTCTAATGTTTATGTTTGTAATGTTTATAATATTTGCTAATTAAAAACCACCTCATGTGGATCTTTGTAACTGAATATGCATATCATTTTGGAGGCTGATACTGAACTAGAGGTTTCATTTTTGGTTGTGTCGACACAGATCGAGACAGCCTTCAAGACTGAACCTAAATATTCTGTTTTTTTTTTTTTTTCCAAATACAATGAGGTGTAATTGGGTAAACTGGTTGTGCGGCTGGTTATAGAGACCAAAACAAAGACATTCCAACACGTAGCACACATTTTTAAAAGAGAATAATTGACTTGAGCGTTGTTTTTTACGTTAACAAATGTTTACTTAGCATGTTTCCTAAATATCTGCATTCATATTATGGTATTTTTATGCTTTGGATTTGTCAAAAACCTACACACAGCACCTTTCAAGTTTTGACATGTTGTATTAATTGTATTTATATGGTTGCGTTTAATTATGTTAATCTACCAAATTTATATTCCACCAATGATTAAAAGCTGTGCTAGGATGATAAAAAGAGTAGGGAAGGAGAGATGACAGAATCTGTGTGCAGCTGTTTTTGTTTCTATGGTAACAGTTTACCAGGACCCTCCAGGATTGTAGCTAAATAATAACTAGAAAAAAGTGTACGTACAGTATTCTAGAGAAGAAAGACGGTGGATTACAATTTGATTAGGAATATTTGAAATGCTTATTTTGGATTTTTCCTTCACCCCCATTACATTTTAAACTGGATGGCACATGACAGTCACATGAGAGACACCCTGCCAGCTATGCTGTCAATCTTATAGTCCCCCAGAAGTGCTTTGAAATGTGCATTTTTATTTGATGTTTGACATACTTTCAACTGAAACATGAAGACAGAGTGGGATGTAGAGAAGTCCCCCCTCCTTTAAAAAATGAAATAAAATAAAAAACAGCCAACTGCATTTGGTTTAGATCACAGCTCTCAACATCAGACTAAAAACAGCCACAGTGTCTGACTGGCCATTTCTATTCTGTAAAACACAGCTTCCTGTGCAATTTAAATGGGCCCAATATGTTTTGTGTACCATGCCAATTTGTGAATATGATCTGGGTCTGTCCGGGCTGAACCATGTACCTGCATACTGTGGGGGTTCCTTTGACATTAGCGTGAAACCAGACTTAAGCCACATCTAAGGAAATCATATTTGCTGAATCTGTATCCCATATATAGTACTGTTCACCAAATAAAAACTGGCCCTGTGTGTAATAGATTTCATTTTGAATCTCATAGTTCCCTGTGTATTGACTGTGTGTGTGTGTGTGTGTGTGTTTGTGTGTGTGTGTGTGTGTGTGTGTGTGTGTGTGTGTGTGTGTGTGTGTGTGGGCAATTATTTTCCACCTAGGGGCTAGCAATGGATAGGTGCAGTGCACAGCATGTTTCAAAATAACCAATAAGAAGATTAACACAGTGTTGTTTGCTGTTTATTTTTATTTTTATATATTTGCGAGTGTTTTGGTGAATCCTTGAATCCAAACTCTCTTTGACAAGTAAAAAAAAAAAAGCAAATTTCAGCATCCAAAATAGTGATTAGAAAAACTTGAGAGGGATTGAGGGATTTTCAAAAAATTGGCCATATGCATTTGTTTGATTAGACATTTGGGCTAGGTTGATAGGACAATTGGGCTTTTTTAATTGCCCACTTGGGCTAGTTTTGGGCTAGTTTGACTGGACATTTATGTTAGTTTTGGGCTAGTTTGATTGCCCATTTGGGCTAGTTTAAATGTCCATTTGTGCAAGTTTAAATGGTCATGTGGGCTAGTTTTGGGATAGTTTAATTGGCTATTTGGGCTAGTTGTATTAAAAATTGGGCTAGTTTGACTGCCTTTTGGGCTAGTTGTGGGATAGTTTGACTGGACATTTGGGCTAGTTGGATTGGATAATTGGGCTAGTTTGATTGCCTATTTGGGCTAGTTTTGGGCTAGTTTGACTGGACCTTTGGGCTAGTTGGATTGGATAATTGGGCTAGTTTTACTGCCTATTTGTGCTAGTTTTGGGCTAGTTTGACTGAACGTGGGTTAGTTTTGGGGTAGGTTGGATTGGTCATTTGGGCTAGTTTTGGGCTAGTTTGATTTGCCATTTGGGCTAGTTTAAATGGTTATGTGGGCTAGTATTAAGCTAGTTTAAATGACCACAAGGGCTAGTTGGATTTGAAGATTAGGATAGTTTGATTGACCATTTGGGCTAGTTTTGGGCTAGTTTGACTGGACATTCAGGCTAGTTTTGGGCTAGTTTGATTGTCCAGTTGGTGTAGTTTGATTGGACACTTGGGTTAGTTTCATTGTCATTTTGGGCTAGTTTGATTATCTATTTGCACTAATTTGATAAACCATTTGGGCTAGTTTAATTGTTAATTTGGGCTAGTTTGTCCATTTGTGCAAGTTTGATTGGCCGTTTGGGCTAGTTTGATAGTTCATTTGTGCTAATTTGATAAGCCATTTGGGCTTCTGGGACGGAGTAAATTTGAGCTAGTTTGAGTGTCCATTTGGGCTTGTTTGATTGGTCATTTAAGCTAGTTTTGGCATAGATTAACTGGCCATTTAGGCTTGTTTGATAGGCTCTTTGGTCTAGTCTGATTGGCAATTTGTGCCAATTTGATTGGACATTTGCACTAATTTTGGGCTAGTTTGATTGGACATATGGGCTAATTTTGGGCTAGTTTGATTGGCCATTTGGGCTGATATGATTGGACATTTGGGCTAATTTTGACTGGCCTTAGTGTTGGTTTTGTTGTGAAAACCTGACAACCCTGCGGTGCACCCACAGATTGCTGTCTTTAGTCATCATGAAGCTGATTGGTTCCCCTTATCATGTTGGGTTTAGAGCATTGACATTAAATGCTGGCTCCTGAGCATTGATGTAGTCTAGCACATTAACTACTGTAGTGTATGAGTATACATTAGTGTCCTAATGACATCTACAGAAATGTTGCACAGAAGCCCATCAGACCGTCTCCCTCTGTGCGCGTTTTCTCTTCTCCACAGAGGTCTCACAGAGAGAATCCCCAGTGACCTCTGAAAGTACAGAGCCTA